TCCGGGGTAACTCGGCTCTGGGGTAACTCGGGTTTGGATTCCCGAAAAATGAACCCGAGTTAGCCCTGACCCGAGTTACCCCTGATGATGTGGGGCTCTGGACGCCCGAATTATCCGGGGTAACTCGGGTCCGGGGTAACTCGGGTTCGGATTCCCGAAAAACGAACCCGAGTTAACCCTGACCCGAGTTACCCCTGATGATTCGGGGCTCTGAGAAAACGGTCGAGGACGAGGACAGCGACGACAACCCTGCCGGTGCCCCCCGCCCCCGACGCGCGAGACGTCCTCCACACCCGCTGCCGCGGGCGCCATTTGTCCGCGCCGCCGCCCCCCCGGGCGGCAACGGCAGAGGGGGGGGGGAGCGGGGCTCTGGCTCATAAGGGGCGGCGCCACGACCCGCCATCGGCGATGCGTCTCCTCCGCCTCCTCCTCCTCCTCCCCCTCCCCTCCTCCCCTCCTCCTCTCCTCCTCCTCCTCCTCCTCCTCCTCCTCCTCCTCCTCCTCCTCCCTCCTCCTCCTCCTCCTCCTCCTCCTCTCCTCCTCCTCCTCCCCCCTCCTCCTCCTCCTCCTCCTCTCCTCTCCTCCCCTCCTCCTCCTCCTCCTCCTCCTCCTCCACTCCTCCCCTCCTCCTCCTCCTCTCCTCTCCTCCTCCTCCTCCTCCTCCTCCTCCTCCTCCTCCTCCTCCTCTCCTCCTCCTCCTCCTCCTCCTCCTCCTCCTCCTCCTCCCCCTCGGCGGGCTGGAGCCCCCAGGGCCCCCACAGCGGCGAGGCAGGCGAGGCCGGGGCTGCCCGCCGGAGCAGGGCGCGCCGAGACGACGGCGGCTCGGAGCTGAGTCCTCGGGCCCCCCCCTCGGGGGGTCCCAGTGCACCCGCCTTCCAATGCCGGCGGTGGCGACGGGGGGCCCCTGGGAGCCTGTTTGTTTTTAGACTCTGGGGCCCCTGGGGGCGGGGGCCCCTGGGGGCCCCTGGGAGCCTGCGACTGGGGGCCCCTGGGGCGGGGGGGGGGGGCTGAGCCTGAAGCAAGCCGGGGGGCGGGGGGGGCGCGGAAATCACGCGAGTCGAAAGGCACTTGCACGCTAATATTCGCTTGAAGAGTGGCGAGGGGGGGGGGGAGGGCGGCGAACGCCATGCAAGTAAACTTGCCTGAATCCCAAAAAAACAGGCTCTGGAAGGCCGAATACCGTTGTCACAACTTGCCCTCTTACCAGCCTTGAACACATCCCTATCCCTCTGCTGGGCACCTCCCCATCACGGTGCCGATCTCAGGCATTCCCTCCTTATTTTCTGAGGGCTGAGATCCCTGAGATCGCCATCGCCCTTTGGCGTGTCCATCTCGGGGATAGGGATCAGTTCGAGGCTGGTACGCAACTCTCCTCTGATCGCCCCCCCCCGTGAGGCCGGGCCCTCCCTCTCTGGGCGGCCCGAAGGGGGCACGGACGACGGAGGGCCCGATGCCCAGCAGCAGCAGGTGGTCCGACGCCGGCATCTCCACGGCCGCTGTTGGGCAGGCGACCGCGTGCCTCGAGTGGACAATGCGGGACGGGAAAATGACTTTGGACGCCCGAGATGGGTACGGAAAGAATGGGTACAATGCCCAACAGCAAATGTTGTCGCAAACCAACAGCGGCCGCTGTTGGGCAGGCGGCCTTCTGTCTCGAATTCAGACAGGCCGCGGCGGCGTGGACAGCGAGTCCTGTTCAAAATGAACAAGAACTGCTGTTGGGCAGTGTACCCATTCTTTCCGTGCCCATCTCGGGCGTCCAGAACCACAGCCACTGCTTCTTGTTTGCGCCGCCTTCCTGCCGGCCGAAAAAGAAGCAGTGGTCGTGGTCATTAACCCTGGTGCCAAGCTCGACGAAACTGACCACAACCACCGCTTTGTTGCTGCGGGCTGGAAGGCGGCATCAAAACAAAGCAGTGGCTGTGGTCGTTTTCACGCCCCGTAGACAACGCCCGCGGAAATGCCGACAACGAGCACTGCTCCAAGCGGACAGGAACTGCTGTCGTGGCTCGCACCACACCATATCGGTACCGCAAGCTCGTGTCGTGCCGACTTCGGCGCTGGCTCCTGACGTCGCGGGGGTCGTTAAGCCTCGAATGATCGGCCAATTCGGAAACGTCGCGTCGCTGAGCATCGACCGGTGCTGGGTCGCCGGCGGCGTTCGACGTTGAACGATGGCGGCGGGGTCGCCGCCAGCCGAAGCGACGCGAACCTACGGTACCCATCCTTTCCGTACCCATTCCGATCGTCCCGACCCTTTCGGCCGCCGACCCCCCCATGAAGGGCAACGATGGGGAGGAGGAGGAGGAGGAGGAGGAGGAGGAGGAGGAGGAGGAGGAGGAGGAGGAGCACATCGACCTGGCACCGGCGACAAGGGGCCTCTGATGATGAAGCCGCACGGATCTGGGCAGGCGGGGGCTACCGTCGGCGGTGGCCCAACCTCCCTTCAGCAAACCACCCTTTAGTGCAAACGGCCTGGGACCGAAACCGACGGACCTGGACCCGCAGAAATGACGGCCGCGACGCCCTCTCGCGAACCGACAACGGCCGATTCGCTAATCGACGTGTCAGGGTAGGAGGTCATTCAACCTCCGATACCGGGCCCCTAGCGTTATGTTGCTCCCATCGTACTTACGGACCACATCCAACAAATGATTTCGAGCACCCGGAAAAGTGTCGAAAGAGTGTCGAGACAGTGTCGGACGAGTCTCCCAGGGCCCGACACGCGAAAGCCCTTGAGCTTCGTTGTTTTTGTGTTTCTGGTGCTCGAAACTCGCTGTGGCGAAAAAGGCCAACGCAGGCTGGAACATCGTGACCCTGGCGGCGATCAAGGGCCGATTGGGGGGTCGACGTGCACCACCCTTCCCCCTGCCCTGCCCCCCCTCGTTGCCCCCGACCCCCCCCCCGCGCGATGGGCGCTCGGGCGCTCGGCGATGGGCGCCGGGCCGCTCGGCGATGGGCCCTCGGAGCCCGGCTATGGGCGCTCGGCCGCTCGGGGCGGCGCCCGCCGCTCGGGGCCCCTGAGCCCCAGGGGCCCGGCGCGGCGGCGCGGCGCGGCGCGCGCGCGCGGCGCGCGCGCCGCGCGGGGGCCACGAGAGGGCCCGTCGGGGGCCTCCGCGGGGGCGCCCGCGCCGTCCCCGAGGAAGAGGAGGGAGGGAGGGAGAGGAGGGAGGGGAGGAGCAGGACGAACACACAACCTCGGAGGACGACCGACGACGGCAGGACGATGATTGGGGGCCACATGCGAGCCTCACCCCTACCCCCCACGACTTCTGAAGGGGGCAGGTGGGGTTCACTTCGCTCGGGAGCTCCCGGGCGAAGTGACCCCCCCCAGATATCGCGGGGGGGTAGGGGCAGGGTTCGCATGTGGCCCCCTGGACCAGTCAACCCTGCAGTGCCGCTGCAGCGGCAGGCGGGGGCCGCCTGCGCCGCAAAGATGGAGGAGGCGGGCGCGGCCGAGCTGCTCGAGTCGGTCTCGCTCCCGCAAAGCAGGAGGTCGCGGCCACCAGTTCGCTATAAGGAAGCAGGAGGAAGAGGAGGAGGAGGAGAACACGACGATCACCCACGAGATGGTCAACCCCGACACTATCCCCTTCCCCATGGGAGCTACCATACGCCACTCCTACCACACCACGCTGGAGAACTCCGTCGCACACTGCACCATCACGGCTAACGAGGGCGACGAGGTGACCATCCTCACTCTGTCCAACAACAGCAACAACGACTTATGGGCACGGGGTAGTATTACTCAGACCAACAGCATGCGAAGTGCCAAACAAGCCCTGATATCTGACAACATACCGAGTACCGCTCCCACCACCACGACATCCAGGAGAAGCTCGACGCCCACGATGGTAGGGGAACCACAGGTCAGTTACAACCAGGCCCTCGACATCCAAAAGGAGATCACCACGGCCAAGGACTCCGCCTGCAAGTTCCTTGACAAGCCCAACGACTACGTCAACCAACTACGCCCATAATAACTGGCGACAGCCATCCTCGCCATCACCCACACAGGTCTGGGCGGCCGAACGCGGTGCCCACGCGCCCGACGCCGTCGCGGCAAAACCTACCACGCCCTTTTCCCGACCTCTCCGACCTGTGCTCCCACCGACCTCTCCCACTCACACTCTGCCTCTCTCTCCGACCCACGCGCCTAGACCTGCTCCGAGCGAACCAGGACTATCCCACCTGGGCGCCACCAGACTGAGGCTGCGCCCCAGGGTCGGACCGACCCTACAGCGGCTGACCGCGCGACCCCTTCACCTCACAACGAGCGCACGTGCATCCCCATCGTCCTCACCTGCGGCAGAGTACCGAAAAGTGGCGGCAAAACCTTCACGAGGAAGGCACATGGCTCGGCGACTACTTCTACTGCACCACCTGAATCAATTTCGTCTCCGATCATAGTCCGCTTTTCTTTCCCAACCTCCCCCGCCTTCCTGGTCCTAGTGCTTCGCCCGGCGAAGCTTCCCCTCCCCCATGTAGAATTGGGATGGTTTGGGAGATCATGGGCGGGGAGGGGAGCACTCAGCCGTCGGCGGCATGGCGCTGGCCGTGCTGCCGCGGCTCTAAGTCGACATATGGCATGTCCTCACCACCACACCTCTCCTCCCCAGCATCAGCACAACACCTCACCTCACCGCCGCCATTCACCTCCCCCGACGAGAGTTGCAGTTTTACTGCCTTCGCCGGGGGAAGTCGAAGACAAACCATAGCCACGCGAGGTGGACCCCCCCCAGACAGCAGACCATACCCTGGACTGGGTACCCTGCTTCCTCCTCGGAGGCGGAGGGTACCAGCCAGGTTAGCGTCTGCTAGCTAGGGGGGGTCCTAACCGCAGGAGCTGAGGTCGTTGCCTTCGGCCGCGTGCTCCAACTTTTTAGCCAGCAAACCCACCGCCTCCTTCCCCTGATTGTGTGCCTACCGCCGCGCCTCCTCCCACACTGCCGTTCCACCTACATGCCCGCCGCCTCCTCGCTCGTTGTTCCACTACTGTG